AAAGCAAAAAGGACCCAGAAGACAAAAAAGAACCAAGAACAACAAAAGGTAACTAAAGGAACAAAAGGAAATTCTCCAGAAGTGTTTTGAGTTAAAGACATGTATTCATAAAATGATAAAAGAATAAAATGGAATGGGAGACTGTAGAACCAATGAAACAAATTGAGGACCGAAGCATCATTAGCACACTAAAAAATAAATCAGAAACAGCCAGAAACAGAGTATTCAGAGCCAAGCAGTGATTTCTAGGTATAGGAGAAAAACTGAAGCGTTCAAATGAAAATGATAAAGGTTAAAGCAATATATATGTTTAAAAAAAAGGAGGGCAAAGATGATCCTAAACAAGGGTAATTGGTCTTTCTAAAGTACAGGATTCAACAAAAGAAAAAGTAACATATTCAAATACATAACAAAAAATAATTTCCTACTGACTTTATAGACAGACTGAGAAAACAAAATTGTAAGAAAATCTGATGCATAGCAAGACAAATCCTGATTAAATTGATGAACTCAAAGAATAAGAAAAAATTCTTATGCATCTATGCAGAAAAATCAAATTAAAGAAATCAAAGAAAACCTAAATGAATGGTAAGTGATACCATGTTCATGGTTTGGAAAACTTAATATTGTTATCAATTCTCCTAAATTGATCAACACAATTCTTATTAAAATCCCATACGCTTAGCACATGACCCAGCAATTTTACCCTTAATATTAACCCAAGAGAAAGACTTATATTCATTCCAAAACTTGTACATAAATGTTTACAGTGACTTTATTCATAGTCACCCAAAATAATAAACAACTGAAATTTTCTTTGACTAATAAATGGATAAACAGTGGTATATCCATTCAATGAATTACCACGCAGCAATAAAAAGAAAAAGGCTACTGATACAACATGGATGAATCTGAACTGTATTTCTGTTAAGTGAAATAAGCCAGACTCCAAAGAATACATACTATAAAATTCATTTATGAAATTCTGGAGAAAGCTAAACTATAAAGATAGAGAACGTGTCAGAGGTTGCCTGGGGTTGGAGGATGGAGGGGGTTTCACTACAAAGCACAGCACAAGAGAATTCTGGAGGGTGATGGAAATGTTATGAGAACAAAATGATTTTTTTCTTTAAAAAATAGTATTAAGAGACTGGTGAAATGTTGACAATTTTTGAGAATGATTGATGATAGTACATGGGTGTTAATCTCTACTTCTGTGTATGTCTGACAACTCTATTTTAAAATGTTTAAAAATGAAAAAAAGAAAATGTTAAGGATGACAACTGGTATTGGTAGTGTCAAAGAATCTAAAGAAGAACACTAGTTCTTCAGTGTTGAGTGAATATGAAGAAAAAACCTACTGAATTATGAAACTAGCTAATAATTTATAAACTTCTACAGTATAATACACAGTTGGGTGGCAGAAATCAAACCTAGGCTCCAAGGAGTGAGGAGGCATTGAAAGTAGCTTGTCTTGATAAATATAAACTCATCCCAGAGGAAGGTTTGAACTGGAGGGACTTCTAGAGTTTGTCTAGCTGTGATGACTGAAGTTCTGAAGGATTTTTCAAGAAAGAGTTGGATCCAACACTCAGCTCAACCGACTTCTGGGATCACTCCCTTTCTATGATCCAGTTACTCAAGATACTTATTTATAGGAGGAAGAAAGAAGGTAGTAGAGAGGACAGACTTATTTCAAGGACGAAAACATCTTGAATACATTTGTAAGGCCAAGAAAAGTTGGTGGAAGAGGAGAAGCTGAAATTGCACGAGTGTTTAGGGATATGCCTAAGGCGAAAGCTTTGATTTCACAGGAAATCAGAAAAAAGTAGGAAAATAGAGAAACCATAGCTTCAAGTGAAGTTCCACTGGCCACAAATGCAAAGCAGGCACGCAAGATAAAGTCCTTATTTTAGCATCTGCACTCAACCTAAACCAGCTAGGGTTCTAAAGCATATTTGCATTTCAGTCAGCTGGAAATTCACAGTAAGTATTTCACTGAAACAAAAGCATAATAGGTAGTTTTCTAGATAAGCCACAGACACTGACTTAGCCCACCGTCTGAGTACGTTTTAGCTGGAGTTCTAGTTTTGAGAAATGGAGAGATGATTGGCGCAACAGAAGGAAGGAACAGAAGGGTGTAAGATCCCTTACACCCAGGGATCTCATTCTGTCCTAAATCCATCAAGGCCTTAAATCCACCAAAAATGTCCCAAGTACACAACTGCCTAACTCTCCTCAAACAAACAAACAAAAAGTCAGTTTATTAAACTGCAACACATGTTGGCTACATAATGGAAAGAAAGTAATTTCATCATTAATTCTGAAGCTTGAATGTACATTAGGCTTTCCTGAGGTACTTGGTGAAAGATATTTCCAGGGCCTCCCCCACAGGCAATTTCATTTAGGTGGTCCTTCAACCACACTTAGGGAAACACAGCACTATGATTTTCTGGTTTTGTTTTTTAAGACAATGCTTGTTAACACAAATGAATCTTTGAATGTTTTAGGTACTTAAGAAAATGGAGCATTTCTTATAGTATGAAGGAGAACATTTGTGGGCAGAAGAACAAAAGAAGCAGTTTGGCCCAGTTTAAGGCAGTACCCCTAGGATCCTCCTCCTGTTATATTTTAATACTTAACACACACCTTCATTTCCCATTCATGGGTGAGGACATGGACACTGGAATCACATACTGAAGGGAAAGGGAGATGGTGAATTCATTCATTTATTAAAGGCTTTTCATGTGGATTTTTCTAAGCCCACTGCTTATCTAAACTTCTGTTTAAAAAGCTTCTACAAAGGCCGGGCGCGGTGGCTCAGCCTGTAATCCCAGGACTTTGAGAAGCTGAGGCGGGTGGATCACGAGGTCAGGAGATCAAGACCATCCTGGCTAACACGGTGAAACCCCATCTCTACTAAAAAATACAAGAAAAATTAGCCGGGCATGGTGGCGGATGCCTGTAGTCCCAGCTACTCGGGAGGCTGAGGCAGGAGAATGGCTTGAACCTGGGAGGCAGAGCTTGCAGTGAGCCGAGATCGCGCCACTGCACTCCAGCCTGGGCGACAGAGAGAGACTCCATCTCAAAAAAAAAAAAAAAAAAGCTTCTACAGAGAATTCATGTTAGAAACATTATTTTATTCAAAACTGAAGATAGATTAGCCCATTACCTATATGTGATTATTCAGTGGAATCAATAATTACTAAAATATACAAATATGCAATCCTACAGCACATTATATGTAACCAGTACTGATATTCCACTCTTGTGCTTTAGGACAGGCAGGACAGTTTTTCAGGGCTGGCATCTGATCTGATTCATTGGACATCCATACCACACTAGTTTATTAATATTTTGGTTCTAACTCCTGCACAAACCTCTATATTTGGGAGTCATTATCTTGCATTTCATTTGCAGATATGTTTCACCTCACCTAGAATTTTGTAAGTTCTTTTAGGGTAGGGTGGAAGGGTTTCTTAAGCAAATTTGTATTGTGTACAGTACTGACTCAGGGGAGGTGAGTCAAGGACTAAATATCCATGGTATTCATCAATCAGTAAAGAAATTCTCATAGCTCTACTGGGCAGTAAGAAGGCCCAATTTTGTCAGTTTCAATTTTAACTTAGAAGAATAAGTAAATAAGGTATATTTATCTGTAAATAACTCACATGACAAGGTCAACCTCTCAGCTTTCTGTTATCTAACTGTATTCTATTTGTGCTTCTGCCCTTTACTGAGAGGCTGTATTTGATATTCTCAAAAGATTTTCTTCACTGAGATTGGTTCTCAAAAACTTGAGGAATGCATTTTCATTAAGGTCAGTTGTACTTTCTTATTAAAAAAAACTTTGTGAATTAGCTGCATTTTATTCATTTGAACTATGATCACTCATACCTAGAAGGAAAAAATAGTATATCGCATGTGTGTGTATATGCACATACTATATATATATATATAGTACTATATATAGTATAGAAGACAGTATAGTCATTAGCATACTGGGCATTCTAAGTGTTTCTCTTTATTGGCTTCAGTGTCTTTCTCAAGTAGTCCATCTGACTTATTTTCTGATAAGTAGCAGGCACCTTCCTCTTTCCCACTACATTTTGTTAGAGTAATAAATAATGACATATTCCTGAAAGGGGAAATGGAAAAGGTAAAAATAAAAATAAATAAATAATGACATACCAAGAATAAAAGATTAGAAACTGAAAAACTGGGGCCCGTATAACTCACACAAAGGCCATCAACCTTTGTCTTCACGGATGTATATATTTTTTCTTTCATTTATATCAAGTGGCTGGTTTATATTTAGATTATCTCAAGAGGAAGGGAAACAACTGTGTATAGGGATTCACAGAAAAATAAACAATCAGCTGAAAAGGTCTAACAAAACGTTGACTTTGAAAATTTCACTTATTTTCCTTGAAGTTTTCTACCCTTCCCATCGATGATAAACCAAGATCATATAATGGAAAATTTCAAACCAGGATTAAATTCTAAAGTAAAGCTTCAATTCAAGCCCTTCCCCTACGAGAATTAATTTTCCTGATTTCTCCTTCTCTCACATCTAAGGAGAACATTTTAGGAGATTAAATTTCAGAACTTCAAGGTTCCATCCAGGTTACCTTTATGTCCTTTTCTTTAGGGAACCACAATTCTACCTATTCTACATTTCCTAGTGGAAGTACCAGAGGGCTAGGCAAGGCCACATGTCCCTTAATTAGGAGTACAGAGCTAAAAATCTGGTGTCTGATTATTAAATGTGCACAATATTTGGGTATAATCGGCATTTTAAAAATTCAGTAATGTCCATTATAAATAACTTATCTAGACAGACTCAATAATAAAAATAACTGGTTAAAATAAAATGAACCACCTGTTTAATACATAAACATCTTGATAAGAATGAATCATTGTGACCTGGGAGAGTCTTTTCTTCATACCCCTGCACTTCATACCCCTGCACTGGAGGATTTCTCCCCTCAATCTTTGGTGCTCTCTTTTCTTTCTATTGGGTTAGTTACAACAACATGGTGATAGGTTTTTCAAGGTACTTTCTAAACTCAGCAAGCCACTGGTCTCTAACTGCTCCATCCACCACCTGGTGATCACAACTGAGTGTAACAGACATCATGCTAGCCACATCAAACCCTTTTTCATTATCTGTGGGAACCAGTTTATCCTCTGAAGCACCAATTGCCAAAATACATGCTTGAGGTAGGTTAATAATAGCAGAGAAATTCTTAATTCCAAACAGTCCTAAATTGGAGATCGTAAAAGTGCCACCCTGGAATTCGTGTGGCTGTAGTTTACCCTCTCTTGCTTTGGTTGCTAAAGAAACAACATCATTAGTAATGGTTTCTAGCCCTTTTATATGTGCATTAAACACAATAGGTGTGATGAGTCCTATAGGAGTACTGACTGCAACACTGATATCAACAATGTGATTTTGTCTCATAACTGTGTCCATCCAAGAAGAATTTGCTTCGGGAACTTTTAGACATGCCAAAGCTGAAGCTTTTATGATGAAGTCATTGACAGAAATTTTGCTTCTCCCTTCTAAAATCTTATTAAGTTCTTTCTGTACCAACAAAACTTCTCCCATATTTACATCTATAGAAAGGTAATAATGAGGTATGGTTTGCTTTGATTGCATTAATCGTTGTGCAATAACCTGATGAACGTTGCTAATTGGGATATCTGTGAAGACATCTGTAGGAACTGGTGCCATTCCAGGACCTGTGGGAGGCACAACAGCTGCTGGAGCAGGAGCAGCTTTACTAGGCACAAAAGAGTCAATATCCTTCTTGGTGACTCTACCATCTGGTCCTGTACCTTTTACTTGTGTAAGATCAATCCCTTTCTCTACTGCCAACTTCTTGGCAAGAGGGCTAACAAACACCCTTCCCTTTGGTCCAGCAGGAGTAGCTGGGCAGGGTGCTGAAGGTGTAGGAGCTAAAGGCTGGGGAGTTAGAGGAACAGTGGCCACCGGGGGTGGGGTAGGTGGTGGTGCTTGTGGTTTTAAATCTGTTACTTCAGTTGGCCTATAGTCAGCAAATGCTGATATATCTGCCTCTTTTTCTACAATGATACAGAGTGGGGTTCCTAGAGGGACATCTCTTGTGCCTTCAGGGACCAGGATTTTTGCCAGATAACCTTCTTCCTGTACTTCAAAACCTATAGTGGCTTTGTCAGTCTCTATCTCTGCCAGTAAGTCTCCTTCACTTAGCTTCTCACCCACTTTTTTTTCCCATCTCTGAACTGTGCCCATGGTCATGGTGGGAGAGAGGGCAGGAAGAAGTACCTGCATGTGAGGGGGATATGAGCTACCAGGAGCCTGAGCAGAAGGTGTAGGTGGTGAAGCAGTGGCAGCAGGGGTTGGTGCTGGGGCCGCCTGTGGGGTAGGTGCTGCTGAGGAATCCAATGTATAATTTTTAAAAGCCTCAATATCCTCAGGCTTGCCAACTGTGATACAGATGATCGCTCCAATGGGAACATCCCTGGTACCTTCAGCAACAAGTATCTTTGCCATATAACACTCCTCCAGGCTCTCAAATCCAACAGTGGCTTTATCAGTTTCAACTTCTGCAATTAGGTCACCTTCGTTGATTTTGCCCCCCTCTTTTTTTTCCCAATGGGCTATGGTGCCTGACTGCATTGTGGGGGAAAGAGAAGGCAATGGAACCTTCTGATGCGGGGGAAGACTGTAACAGCGGCGGCCGGGTGACCCCAAAAGCTGCAGCAGTAAGCGGTTCCGTGGCGTGGCCCCAGAGCTGGGGGTCCAGCCACACAGTGCCCGGACTCCGCCATATCCTGTAGTCGGATGTATGTTTTTTAAGACATCCATGTTGTATCAATAGCCTTTTTCTTTTTATTGCTGAGTAGTAATTAATGGGTTATGGAGGGAGTGAGTTACTTACCAGGAGAGTGAGTCTGTTATAAAAGCCAGTCTAGCCAACTCTCATGAGCCCCTCACCATGTGATGCCTTGTACCATCTCAGGACTTTGTAGAGAGTCCCACCAGCAAGAAGGCCCTCACCAGATGTGGCCCCTTGGCCTTGGACTTCAGCCTCCAGAACTGTAAGGAATAAATTTTTTCTTATAAATGACCCGTTCTTTAGTATTCTCTTATAGCAACATAAAGGGTAAAACACCTAATCTCAATCTTAATCTAAATTTTAGAAAAAAAACATAAAAGAGAAATATAATTCCAGGTACGGTGGCTCAGACCTTTAATCCTAGCAATTTTGGCGGCCGAGGCAGGAGGATTGCTTGAGACCAGGAGTTTGAAACCAGTCTGGACAGCACAGAGAGACCTCATCTCTACAAAATTGTTTTTAAAAAATTAACTGGGCATGATGGCACACACCTGTTGTCCCAGTTACTCAGGAGACCAAGGCAAGAGGATCACTGAAGCCCAGTAGTTTGAGGTTACAGTAAGCAATGACTGTGCCACTGCACTGCAGCCTAAACAACATAACAAGATCCTCTCTCTCAAAATAAATAAATAAATAAATAAATAAATAAATAAATAAATAAAAAGAAAAGAAAATATAAAGAATAAAATGCCATCTTGAGAGGAAATGAAACAGTTCAATGTTTAACAAAGAGTTTCTTGCTGTTAAGTTTGACAATAGAGAACCAAATTTATTGCTTGGTATATATTTAATTTTCATCAGAAAATGTGTTAGAATAGAAAAAAGTTTTACTGGTTGTGACCTATGTTGTTCAATAACAATAGTGACAAGCCCTCTCTAGGCTGGAGAGGACAAGCTGCAAAATTTAATAGGGAAAAAAAAAAAAAGAATAGGCATATAATAATGAAATAAAGGAAAGGGATAGTTCTTCAGTAGATCTGACAGACTGTGATTCAGCACGGCAGGGATTCTGGATCACAGCATCCAGAAAAGGGATGCTTGATGGAACGTGTGACTCTTCTCAGGTAACCGTCTTGCTTGGTTAAAGGTTTCCTCTCTCAGTGGAATTATAAACAAAGGTTAGGAACCTCCCTCTTGCTAAACCTGAAGGCTTCTCCTAAGTTTTTGTCTACTCTGATCTGCCTGCAGTCCGTCATTGTTGACCTCTCCTTCCTTCTCACAGCCCTGACCTTGGCTTCCACAGTATAGCATTCATCGCACTGGCCTCAAGCCTTTCCATCATTTAGCTCTTGCTGCTTTTGTTTCGCTGGTTCTTTTCTTCATACGCCTGCACTGGAGGATTTCTCCCCTCAATCCTTGGTGCTCTCTTTTCTTTCTATCTACTTGCTCCTAAAAAAATGGCAATGACTCCTAAGTCTACACTCTGAACCCCAACCTTTCATCCATGCCAGAGTCCATTTTTTCCAACTGCCGATAAACATTATAATTTGAATATTCCACCATCACAGGAAGCCTAACTAATCCCAAAAGGAACTCATCTTGCCCAGCTTCTGTCTTCAACCAACAGGTTTCTTTATTCATCACCTTCACAGGTGTTAATGGCTTGACTTTTCTTTTACTCCAAACCATCGGAATCATCTTTGACCGTGTTCTTTCACCTCCAACCTGTGAGCTGTTACAACTTGACTTTTCTCAAGTGAAAATGTTCCCCACAATTCTTACTGCTAACAACCAGAACTTCAGTTGACACGTGTATTACTATAACTGGGCCTGGATAACTCTTGCCTCTACTCGTATATCTCTTAAATCTATGCTTAGGGTGAATCTTAAGAGAAAAAAATAGTCCTAAAATACCACTTTCATCACCTTTTCCCCTTTCCCTATTTTAAATTACATCAAGTCCCAAGTTCTCAGCTCCACTATCTGACTCCACTCTTCTCATTCAACATTCCCTACTGCCCTCCGATACAAAAATCTCTATTTCCCTTCAGTAAGTTATTTCTCACTTGCTCCCATTCCTCCCTCCCAATTTCAGGAGTCATCAACTCTTTGTTTTTGTTTCTATCATATTTTTTTTCTGTCAACAGAAACTGGGATTGTTACTTCAGAGAACACTTTTTAAAAGACCACTAGCCTGGTTGTAGTACAAAACGGATTTGCAAAGAGCAGAAGCGGGAGCTAAAACTGGACAGGTAGATTGGGGCTGACTAAGAAGGTCCCTAAGGGCAAGTGCATCACAGTCTTTTCTCTTAGACAGTTAGTTCTCAGGCAAAAACACTGAAACAATCATCAAATTATGGTAAAGCCCAGACAAGCAAAACAAAATACGACGGTCTCCCTTGTGACCACCACGTATGAGATTTGTAAGAACAAACATGTCCTGCCATGGGAACTTTGCCACTGTCTGCCTCAGATGAAAGCAGTTCCTCTGCTTTCATACATTAACCAAGAGGCTCAAAAGCAAGGTGGCAACAAGAACGAACTCAGCTAAGTTACTTCTCTGACAAAAGTCGGAAAGACTTCTCAGTTGCCCAAATCAGCCTGTGCCAACCTGGAATCCTCATTATCGAAATCTTTTGCAATAAGAAAGCTGTCTTGATTAAAGTTTTAAAAATTGGTGGTTCTGAAAAGAATAAAATTTTCATAATGAGTTATTATGAAATCAGTGAAATGGGTCAAAAATGCATAAGGAAGAAGCAGAACCACAGGTGACAATCAGCCTTCTCATCCAGCCTCAGTAGTCATCCTGGAGTATTGCTCAAAAGTCAAAGAGGTGTTAACAGATTCTGTGAGAAGATTGCAGAGTTTTCTTGAAACAAAGGGAGCTGACCCAGCATACCACACACAGCCTCTACTTCTTGAGGCAAAGGAGTACAGTGAGTTGCTACCCAAGTTATCCAAGAGAATAACAACAACGCCCACTAACTGAAGGCTCTGGGTCATGTACTGTGCTAGGTATTCCACTGACATTATCACATTCAATCTTCCTAGCAGCTCTATCAGAGAAATGCCATTATCTTTATTTTACAGATAAGGAAACTGAAGCTCAGAGAAGTTAAGGAACTTGCTCCAGATCACATAGTTATTAAGCTGTAGAGGAAGTGTTCAAAGTTCAGGGTTCCAGTCTATGCTCGTCATGATAGCACACAGCTTCCCAGTGTGAAGGGCAGTAAGAACAAGATGGTGAAATGAATTTTGTCAATCAACCAACATTTATTAACAGCACACTAAGCACTATGCTGGGCTTAATTATGAATGGTAGGCAGAAAATACAGGGCTGGAGACTCACCTCCACCCCATCCCCATTTACTACTCCTAAAATCCCTATCCCATGAAAAACATCACATGAACTACATTGCAACTAATTGCCAGGAAACTATAAGAGGACCTAACAAAGCATATGAGCTGATAGTCTTAAATTCTAAGTATATACAGAATTTTAAGTGGTAGCCTTTAAACATATGCTACCAAGCTGATATATAATGAACTGAAATCAAAACTACTATTATACAATAATCAGCCCACATGACTTTTCATAACAAGTGTGATTTTAATTGGATTAAGGAATTTGTAGCATGTTTTCCCTCTAAATAACCCACGAAAATACTTATCATTCTTTAAATGTTTTTGTTCACTTCCTCCTATATGGGAACATAAAACTATGGAAAATACTAGCAAGAATCATACAGCTGGGAAAGAATTTTAGAATTACCTAAATCTAAATAACCTAAATATACACTAAATCTACTACTTACATTCAGATAATGAAATAAGCAGATGAGTATTTCATTTTCCTTTAGCATCACTCAGAGTGAAATCACAAAAACCTTGCAGAAGTTATCTACCTTTGCTTAACCCTTTCATTAAAAAGTAGGAACTAAAAATGAACATCACATTACATTATGCAAATATACACAATAAAATTTATTTATTTTTTTCAAGACAGAGTCTCGTTCTGTTATCCAGGCTGGAATGCAATGGCACTATCTCAGCTCACTGCAACCTCTGCCTCCCGGGCTCAAGCGATTCTCCTGCCTCAGCTTCCCAAATAGCTGGGATTACAGGTGTGCACTACCATGCCTGGCTAATTTTTGTATTTCTTTTTAGTAGAGACGGGGTTTCACCATGTTGTTTAACATTTATTTTAAAAACAAAATAAAAATGGTGAAAGTCTTTAGGTTTGCTAAAGCAAAGATGGAATAGTAGAGTTATGTGTAGCTCACAGGTTATGGTAGTTTTTATCTGAGGTCAATGGAGTGAAAACACATCTTGGGCAGATCTGAGGCATGTCCTGGAATGGTATGGAATAACACTAGTAATCAAAAGACCAGAACCTGGGTTTGAGCTCTGCCAACTTGCTCTGTGATTGGATATCAGAGCAACTTTAATCTTTGAGTCTCTATCATCTACAAAATGGAGATAATATATGTCATTTAAAAGAGTTTTGGGAAGGGCCAGGCGCGGTGGCTCACCCCTGTAATCCCAGCACTTTGGGAGGCCAAGGCAGGTGGATCACTTGAGGTCAAGAGTTCGAGACCAACCTGGTCAACATGAGAATCCCCGTCTCTACTGAAAATACAAAAATCAGCCAGGCATGGTGGAGGGCCCCTGTAGTCCCGGCTACTCAGGAGGTTGAGGTAGGAGAATTGCTACCAGGATTCGGAGGAGATGGCGGTTGCAGTGAGCCAAGATCACGTCACTGCACTCCAGCCTGAGCAACAGAGCAAGACTCCATCTCAAAAAAAAAAAAAAAAAAAGAAAAAAAAAAGAGTATAGGGAGGATTAATTGGTTAACTTTAAGCACTACATAGTCTAAAGACTTCACCTGAATAGATTGTGATCAATAAGACAAGGTGAACTCCTGGAGGGCAAAGAATAAATGTTATTTACCTATACCCCACCACAACCCATAAGACCACACAGTTCTAGCCAAATAG